AACAAAAGGCTGGAGATTTCTCAGCGTTGCCCCCGCGACGTTTTTAAAGAAGATTTCTTTTTTTTTTAAATGAGCGCCTGAGAGAAACGTACAATAAAAATAAATGAGATGGAACTGGGTGAGAGTAAAGTCAGCCGTATCCAGCATTAGGAAATAAAATGGGGGAGAAATCAAGTTCAAGGGCTGACTGATTAATCTGTAGATTCATGTAAACCACACACATTTAGTCAAGAGCTGATGTGCATTTAACTCCCGATGAAACATATGATGATATTATAAAGGAAGCGGCTCATTGACAGGTATTTTAATCATTTAATTTTAATGTTTGGGGCTCCTGGAGGTTCTGGGATGCAGAAAACTGATCAATCTTCACGAGACCCTGCCTCTGCTCTACATGAGCACCTGTGAAACACCTCTGTGACGCTGTGGTTTTCTCATTCCAGATCATTGTTTCTGTGTCCTAGTGTCAGGAAAAAATAAGATTAATCAGATTTCTTACATTAGCACAGTTATTAAAGAGGTATGATTACTTTTACAGCACATTACTTTGCCAGTAACTAAGTTGCAGTTATTCTTATAGTTAAGCCAGAATTTGGGCAGGGCCCTGTTTGTTATTAATTTATTGTTCTAAGGCAGAAGTGTCAAACTCTTTTTGACAGGAACAAAACAGAAGAGTCACTTAAACAATCAATATAAGTGTCTTAGCTAGATATGTGTGGGACGTTTCCTAATGGCTTTCACAGTTAATTACTCCAGATGTTAGCTTCAGCCTTGGATATCAGAAGGGTCTCGACATTCAAGAGGGTTCGGTGCAGAGAACCAATCGCAAACAGTTATATTGACTTGTAACCAAGTCCACCCCTAGACCATCTCATAACATACTACAATATGTATGGTTAAAAGACATGGATAACCCTCCCTTATATGGTAATTAAACTATGAATGCAAAGGCTTTAAGTTAATTAAAATAACATTGATCAACTAAAGCTAACAGTAGTCACAAGCAAATAACAATCTGCTAAAATCGGCAACGTGAATCCCTCCTCCAGATACAGAGGATGCCTGCACTTTCTCTATCTGCTTCTGTGATCAGCAGCCCCACGGTAATGACAAGGGTGATAAAACAGTGGGTGAGTCGTGTCCAGCTGCTGACACAGAACGAGGAGTGTTCATTACAATATAAAAACAAGTCCACGCTGAGACGCGGATATTGGGTTCTTGGGCAGGGGGCAGGGAGAGGCTCACTTGGGAATTAGATTGTCATCATCCTGCTGTGCTCTTCTTCCATTAAAGACCCTGGCGGTCAGACCGAATGGCGAATGTCAAGTACCGAGTACGGAGTACCGAAACGCAGGCCCGGGGGGGGCGCGTGTCTTCGGGCGGCCTCCGAGCACAAAGCAGCAGGATCCGTGGAAGCTTCGAGCGGAAACGAGACGTGTTCAGTTCCCGAAGGCTTCGGACGGTCAGGTTATTGCTGCGGATGAGAGGACGGGTGATTCTGCCTAAGATCTCGTCACAAACAGCCGAACACGCGACCTCTCAAAAGGAGAGAAAGTCTGTTATGAAAGTGTATTTTATTGTGGTGTGTGATTTGTTTTTTTCCATTCGTTTTCTACTGTAACACTTTTAGAAAGCTTACTTCTTCAAGCGGTGCGAGCCGCTGTGTCTTTTTCATCGTAGCAGGAGCCTTTCCTCGTCTTATTTGATTTGGGAGCTGGAAGAGGATTCAGCACCGCCAAGCATAATAACTTTGTCAAGCTCTCAACCAGTTGGCAGCAATTGGCACCATTCCTGGAGGCGGCCGTTACCGGTGCTGTGAATGAGGTTGAGGAGAAACGTGAAGCACCTCTTTCATGATGAATGAGTGCGCCGAAGATCTTTTCCTCTGGTGTTGGAACAGCCGCCCTCTTGAGTACTGGGCTTTAGTAGGACCGCACGTGAAACGATCTCCTTCTGGAGGCTTGCAATCAAAGCTCCTCCGACCTTCAGAGGCTGTTGCTGGACAGTCTCTCGTGACTGAGCTGTGCCGTTTGGGCGAGGAAGAGTATCTGACCCCGGTGGTATTTCCTGCTGTGCCCACGGAGCTGCCGGTCTGGTAGAAAGACAACAGGACTGATTGCTGTCCTTGCTGTGCTTTGGCGTGTTTGCATGCATTCTGACACACTGAATCAGCTCTATCCTTCAAGGCTGTAAACATCTCTCTCTCTCTTGGTTTTTCACCGTGAACCATGAGGAAAATGCCACCACTCCATTGGATTTTCTTCCTCCGTTTCTGTGATTTTGAAATTGTACTTTTTTTCCTAAAGTGTTTTTCGGTACATTAATTAATAATAATTTTAATTATTGTTTATTACAAAGGAGAGCACTGTAGCTGTCAGACGTTTGTTGTGTTATGAAGTATAGCCTGATATATTCTTCCTCTCATGAGTCCCAGCTCAATGGATAAACTCTTTTAAGAAACAAATAAGGCACTGCCTAATGCTCATGTCACACCACACTATTATATACAGTAGAAAAGCTGTACTGGAGTCATAAACTGCTTCTAAGAATAAAATAGAAACAAGGAGGTGAGGACAACAGGATTTTTAATGTTTCTTGTGATTGTGTTTGTTTTTCTGATGGTGTTTTGATTCTATCACAGTTATTTCAGCATGGTACACTTAACTGGTTGCTGAAAACCAGAAACCTTTGTTCCTGATATGGCAATGGTAATCTTTCTAAGCTATGATGTTGGTTAGGGATTAATGACAGGCAGTTCATACTTGCTTTTTTATTATTGAATATCCCAGGATGCTTGCTCTGAGGGATTACAGAATAATTATGATAATATGCAATTATCACCTCATTTTTTCTGCAGTAACCTCAAGATGAAGTGTAATATGGGTGTTACTGCAAGTGCTGATAGTTTGAAGAAAAAAAAACACTGACATCTGAGATTCCCAAGTTGGGAAGACGTGCAGTGGTCTGCAAATGGCAGGCGGGGTTGTAGAGTGGGTGGGAGGAGCAGATATCTCCCCTGGAAGAACAATACATTTTGTCTGCACCATCTACCTTCACAGGTCTCGTAGCTCCCTTCTCCAAATCTGGTGAAAGCAAAAATAATTCTGGCATGTGCAGGTCTAATCAGGCTCCTGTGCAAACCAGGTGTTTGTGTCCGAGCCTGAAGTGACCAGAGATAAAGCTACAGATTTCTCGGTGAGAATAACACTTCAGCCAAGGAGCCTGTATTGCGTTCGCATTTCTCCTCCTGGTTTCCTGACATGCCAGGATCAGCCGTAATGAACAAACAGGACTTTTTTGGAGGGGCATTATCGGTGGTGGTGCTGTGGAGCCACGGCCTTTTTGAATGACATTTGCTCTCTCCTTTGCGGCGCCCCATGGCAGAGGTGAGCCTGGCGCTGGGGAGGACTGCAGGACATGATGTAAATCTGAAAGAAGTCGAGTTCCGGGCCGGCTAGCGGTGTGCTGCTCGCGCTACAGAGCAGATGAGTGTGACATCGTGGAGCTCGTCGCCGTTGTGTGTCTGCAGCGCGTCTTAATCACGAGCGCTTTCAAGCCCTGCCAACGTTTAAAAACAGTTGTGCGCCAAGTTCATTTTATAAACTGGAATATTAGAATATTACATTATGGAGTAATGTAATACTATGAAAGAGTAACCCCTTTACGTTTTCATTTATCACAACACGAAGCGCCTCATTTGTATCAATTGCCTCTAACGTTAATTCTAACGTGTCAGGCTTGAACTGCTGATCACCGGTCCAACAAAAAAAAACTCGGGATAATCATCTTTGTTCAAGCAAAGCGCTAATTTTGAAAAACGGCTCAATAAATAAATCTATAAATAAATGAATAAATCGCAGCCCTGTGGTTCGGTGCGCATGGAAGCAGGATGTTAACTTGTGCAGGCTTCTGAATAGCAAGCCCGTTAATGAGGTCTGTAATTTGAGAGCAGACATAATATTCGGATGGCTTGCCACCCTGCTGTTCAGAGGGTAGCAGTGAAGTTTGCTTTAAATGCGAAGCGTCTGTTCCTCCTCAGAACCCCTAACACCAGAACAGATGGGTGGAATATGGAGCACGGAAGGTTTTACCTCTGAGGTGGTAACAGTGAAGCCACTCATTAACACTGAATTTACCACTTCGTTAGCAACGTTGCTTCCTGTTGAGAAAAGCTAGTATAGGATGTCAGATCGACTGAGCATACATTTGTCTAGCTGTGTGACGATAACAAGCTTGGACATTAAAAAAACACAAACTTGAAATCATCACCTCACCTAGCTCAGTCGGCTTAATCTGGTGCTGTGAGGGCTCGTTAGAAAGTCATTACGGCTTTTACGAAGTTTCTGTTGTCTGTGCAGTGGTGAAGCCACATTTTATTTTTTAAAATCTTTACGTTGCGACCCCATCTTCTTCCTGATGCACCGGTTAATCTGTCCTGCTTTCTAACGCCTGTTTGTATGTCCCCACTTGTAAGAAACAAAGGAATCAACACAAGAGGCTCGTGCTGGGAGCTGTTTTATCACCATTTTAGAGTGATAAGATGGAATATGATCTCATTGGAGGTGTACTTTGTTCCCATGGAAATTGGTCAATTTTAGCAACAGCTGAGAGTTTTAAAGGCAGAAGCAGGAAGGTTGTAACCCAAAGGTGTGGATTCCTTATGTTCTTGTAATTAAAGTCCTCGCAGGAGTATTCAGGGCTAACAGCAGGGTACGTTATGAATGGAGATGGCGAAAATGGGTGTTGAATAATAATGTGATGGGAACAATGCAAGTCTGTTTTCTGAGAAACGAGGCGCTGAAGTATTAGTTAAAAAGATAATATTGTTTTGCCGTGCAAAATAATGCAAAGCTGAAAATGATTTTTTTTTTCTTAGGAGTATCAATGGTTTGGTGTAAATAATGGCTTGCAGAAGCATGTAAAGAGAGTTTGTGAATTGCACTGGCTGGTGACGAGCACATTTTAATCTGCGGTTACGTTTTGTTCTTTTTTTTTTACAGAAGTAACTGCAAGAATGGCTGATCTGAAGCAGGAAGCCAACGAGGAGCCCAATCCAGACTCTGCGTGTGACAGTACAGATATCACTCAGGTGTCATTAAAGACTCAGACATCATCTCTGAAGAACAATACTTCATGTCTGCCGGAGCAGCTGTCCTCAGACATTTATGAAAAACCCTTAAATGGAGCCCAGCCAGCTCTATTTGTACATAGTAGTGCCCCTGCTGCTTCCGTTGCAGAGCGTACCTTGCCTTCAGAAACCGTTGTTAATGGACCTGTTTCGCACACCACCTCAGATAAGCTGTGCACCCTAAAGAAAGCCAGTGTGACGCTGAGTAACACCCAAGCTACAGAGCCATCGTCAAAGACCTCCAGCCCTCACGTTTTGCAGCCACCTAATGAACATGAGATGCCTACAAAATTGGACACTAAGAAGACTGCACAGCCAGCAGGGAAGGGATTTATCCCTGACTCACTGACCACGCAGAAAGATGGCCGGGCAAAGAAGTGCGACGTGGAAGAGCAGTCCAAGGCGGGGGACACCGTTCTGTCCGAGGAGACGTCCGACGAAACGCCCATCACCCACACACAGACCCGGCAGGAAGTGAACCATGGGAGTACATGGGACTTCTCTCTAGAGTCTTCCGAAAGCTCCTCGGATGAATACGAAAGCCATGACCTGAACTGGGACCCTCAGAAGGAGTTCATGCGGTTTCTGTGGGAAGACGATGAGAACGACATGGAGAAGGAGGAAGAAGCCCCACCTCAGCCTAGTGGCCAGAGAAGGAGGAAGCGTAAGATGGACATTGTAGAGATGGACGACATTTCTGAGAACGTTTGGTCTGACTTGAACCACGCCTCCAAAAGATCGAAAATGGATGGTGCCCCAGAGTATGAGGAGGGCTTTCAAAACACTGTTTCCCATAAGAAGGTGCATTCCTTAAGGAAAAAACCCAACGCAGAGTCGTCTGTCAAGTCAGGCGAGAACTATCCCAGTGAAACCGTCGAAGCCATCAAACAGCTGATTTTAAGTTCGCCGGCAAAAAACCATCTGGATGAAAATGACGACGATGAGACGGAAGGCCTTCCCATTGCAGGAGGCAAACTGAAACCAATAAAGACCGAGCCGTCAGCAGGCCTGGGGGCTGAGCAGGAGCCCTCGTTTTTCCCTTGCACAAAGTGCAATGTGAATTTTAAAGAGAAGAAGCATTTGCATAGGCATATGATGTATCACTTAGATGGAAATAATCAGTTCCGTCATGTTAATGTGCCAAGGCCCTTCATATGCAGGGAGTGTGGGCGTTCCTTCCGCGACCGCAACTCTCTGCTGAAACACATGATCATTCACCAGGAGAGGAGGGAGAAGCTAATGGAGGAAATAAAAGGAATGAATGAACTGCAGGACGAAGGCAGGAATGCAAGATTACAGTGCCCACAGTGTGTTTTTGGAACAAATTGCCCCAAAACCTTTGTTCAGCATGCCAAAACGCACGAGAAGGATAAAAGGTATTACTGTTGTGACGAGTGCAACTTCATGGCAGTGACAGAGAATGAACTGGAGTGTCACCAGGTCAGTGCCCACAGTGCAACACTGAAGCCCACTTATATATTCATGCAGAAGAATTACACAAAAGGTCAGAAGTTAGCAGCCAAGTATGGTTTATTAAGCCGTTCCCAAAAATCTGTCTCCTATGCTTGTAAAATATGCCCTTTCAGCACTCTGAACAAAAACGTTCTGAAAAAACACGTTGAGCTTATCCATCAGCAGCAATATCACGAAGAGCATGATTGTCCACCGTATGGCAAAAAAATTGACTATGCAGCCCCAGCATTTGAGCAGCAGAAGTTTGCAGGGAAGTCGCAAAAAATTGAGTTGCCGAGATTACAGTTGAAGCCAAAGTTCTGCATGGAGAAGCCAGCTTTCAGGAACCGGTCAGAAACACCCTTCTTGTCAGATGGTTTCTCTGACCTGTTCAGAAAGAACAAAAACATGCAGAAAGCCAGGAAAGGCATTTTGAACTCTAAACTGACCAAATGGAGTCTTAGCAATGCTGCGAGCCAGTTGTCATCTTCTCGCAAGAACGAAAAGCAGAACAAGTTGTTCTTTCAACAGAACGAGAAAATTGACGTTACAACAGGTCTTCCGTATGCAGAAGACAGCGATGGGGAGCATGACTATGGAGGCATGTTTCCAATGAACCTGGAAAAGCAGAGCTCACACACCAACAGTTACAAGTTACAAGCCCCCAAAATGGAAAAGTCCGGCAGCATCTACTTTCCTAGCTACGACTCCGACCACAGCCAAGGAGACAGTGAGGATTCTGATAGCAGGAACTTAGGGGGGGTGAGGTCGGTCAGCGGGAAGTCTCCTAACAAAAGGAAAATGACATCTCCCTATTCAGATGCTGCGGAAAAGGTCACTCTCGCCATCCTGCCCAAACCCGAACAAAATCAGAAGCAGAATGATGGGGCCGAGGACCCTGGGGAAGACAACTACGACTTCAGCGACTATACCAGCGAGGCTACGGCAAACTTCTTGGATTGTAATGAAAATGAGCAAAACCCGTACGCTAGGAACTATTTTATCCGTAGACAGAGGTTTACCTCGTCCAAAGACGAGAGGGGCCCGACCAGCCACGTGTTTGAAAAGAGTGGTGGCAGCGCTGAAAAAGACACAAATGCCATCCAGAAAGTCAGGGTCAAGGAAGAGTGTATCGAAACCGAAGTCTGTGAAGAGGCGCCCGAATCCGGCTTGGCGCTGCACAGCGACGCCTATCCCACGTTTGATGTGTCCCCCTTCACAACGGAGAGGAAGTCGTGCCCGTACTGCCCCGCGCTGTTCGAGTCGGGGGTCGGCCTGTCCAACCACGTCCGCGGGCATCTCCACAGGGTGGGGCTGAGCTACGACGCGCGCCACGTCGTGTCGCCAGAGCAGGTCGCTTCTCAGGACAGGAAGCCGCGCATCCGGAGGAAAATCACTGCAGTGAGGCGCATTAAAAAAGGTAAATGCTTTCAATGTGGTTTTGCTTTCTTCCCCATTTGTTGTTACATCTAACTGGATGTTTTGGGGTTGTATTTAAGATGTGTGGCTTGACTAGTTTGCCTGGAGAGTGATGCAATTTAAGGAATTGCTTTTCCTGATAAAGCCGTTCTTCTGTGTAACATGTAACATAGCGCAGGCTTTTGTTCTGTGCTGTAAGGTATCAGTACCATCTGTGTACAGATTTATATCGGCGTGATTTGAACACAAATAATAAAATGTTAAATCTGATAATTTAGCTGGTCCCATTGTCTTGCTGTATATTGGATTGAAATCTATGATCTCTTACTGTATGCTGTTGAATTCGCAACAGACTTCATGTTATTTTTGGCAAAGTCAACCCAGCAAATGTCTTCAGATAATGGTGAAACCTGAACCAGAGGAAACGGGTGAAAAGTATGTGGAATTGCACTTAAAACGGAGAATAGGTCGCACTTCTTTACCCAAATAGATGTGGGACTATGGAAGAAACTACACATCCATGTTGTTGAAGCCAGTACTCTGTGTTCATTTAAGAAACAGCTGGGTGAGATCTGCCAGATCAATTGGCCATGTGACTACCATGTGGACAAAATGGGCCAAACAGTCTCCTCCTTCCAGGTCTGGTTTTGCCAGTATGAGATCTTGTGTTGAGTTCCTGTGTTGACTCTCTCTCTCTCGTGTTTCGCCAGTGGACAAGCCCGAGTCGCAGACGGAGCACACCTGCCCCCTCTGCGGGGGCTGGTTCGACACGAAGACCGGCCTGTCCAATCACGTCCGGGGCCACCTGAAGCGGATCGGGAAGACCATCTCCAGCACCAGCAAATCCCCCGTCTGCATCCTCAACGAGATGATGCAGGACGAGGAGGAGTACAAGCACCTCTTACAGGTGCTCAGCAAGAAGCGCTTCTTCTCCCGGCCCTTCGTGTCCCAGAAGTTCGCCAGCAGTGACGGCCTGTTCCTGTCGCCCACCGGGATTCCGGTGAAAATCCAGCACACCAGCCAAGACGGGAAGGCGTGGGGCGCGGCGGTGGCGCGGCAGGAGGAGGAGGGCTCGGAAAAACAGCGGACAGAGGCCAACCCCGAGGAGAAGGGCTCTCCGTCGAGCACTCTGATCGAGCTCCTGAAGAAGAGGAGACAGGACGAGGAGATGGAGATGTGCAAGAATCGCTCCCAGACCGCGAGGAAGCGGCTCGCTGCCTCGCCTCCCAAAGATGGCAGCACTGGGACAACGGTGAAAACGGAGCTCACCTGGCAGCCAGGTAAGGAACGCACCTGGGCACCTCCGCAAAGCACATGAATGTCTTCCAAGCCGGGCAAAAAAAAGGTGTCTCATGCTCTTAACAAGCCACACGTTTTCTCATTCTAGGATTCTATTTGGATCACATTTTAATGTTAGATTAGCTGTAAGCCATTGAAATCTTGAGCCTTTTCCTGCTGGATCATCTCATGTTCTGTCCTGCTGGTTCTGGGGTCGTTAGGTGACCAGTGAAAGGACATTATCGGACAAGTATTTTGTCTTTTTAAATGGAGACGTGCGGCGTGGCTGTAATTATCGAGATGAATTAAAGCGTCCTGCATTCTTTCGGAGTGTTTCACAGGCATTTGATGCCCTGTGATCGTCAGGGTGCCCCATGTTGCCACGGAAAGGAAGCCAGCAGGTCATGGCCTGGCTTTTCTGAGCAGGTTTGCAGATGGAGAATGTGTCTTGAAGCACTACAAGTGAACAGAATTTTATTATTAATCAACAAAGGGCTGTGCGTGTTCAGGTTTCTGGGTTGCGTGGTTGTACCTCATCGGTCCCCTTGTGGGGTCCTGAAGGAAAGGACGAAGAAGCAGTGTTTAGTTCCTTCATTCCCATAGTGCGGTGCAGCGCTCATGTAAAGACAAGGGAGGTGTCATGAGCTCAGTGTTGGACCTCTGAGTTACAGCACCAGAACATCGAGGGTTTTGTGTTTGGTAGACGAGTGATGATGGCTTTCAGACTGAAGGAGGCTGTGTTAGTACTAGCTTGAAGGATTGCACCTGAGAATCTAGTAATGAGCGCTCTCCCTGTGTTATTTCAGATGTTAAGCTGATTGTTCTTTTGTTTCGCACGAAGACAAGGGAACCAGAAGCTCCAATAATTAATTTGCATTATAGCACGCACATCAATCGTAATGAGCATACCGCAGCATTAAACAAAGAGTCTCATCTCACAGCTGTTTAGTATATTTTAACACCTTGACAGCTTTCATTGTTTACAGGACTTTATTTTGAATTGCACATTTTCATTAAGGTAGTGTAGTTTTAGATCTTTCTAAAGTTCTTTTTTGTGTGTGTGATGGGAGGGATTACTATGTAACCTCAAAATCACCAGTGGTTTGTTAGGGTGAAATAACCACCAGAAATCAAAATGTGGCGATTGGGTAAATTATGTGATGTGTACATAAAAAAAACAGGCATCATCAGCTTTATTTAAAATTGGGATTAAAAGCCTTTGAATACTTTGATGTTGGGTGGGGCCACATCAGTGTGGTGTTCTCACCTGTGGTATACACCTGTCCAGATAAGAGAGTTGGTCTGAATATCAGTGTTCAGAAGAAAAGCCTTTAAAGCTGGAGATTGCCCAGCAGTGGCAGCTTCACTATTTATCGAAATCCTGTGTCTTTGATATGAAAGGTTAACTTGTGACAGCAATTTGTGGCTCATGTTTCACAGATCTTGCACAGGACTGGACAGTCTGACCGCTAGTGAGCGTAAAACAAATTACTTGCTAAATAGACAGTTCCATTGTACACTGAATTACAAAATGTATTTCTAAATTCAGGTCAGAATGCCACTGGTGTGTGGAGATGTGTGTATTTTTATTATTAATTTGCTTTGTGCTTCCCGTCTCTTGTTTATAAGGGCTGTGCTGAAGATGAGTGCTTTTAAATACACGTCTGGAGAGTCGTTCTCAGATGTGTAGGAGAAACCTCAGCACTGTGCGAACAGCCTGTAGCATGTTCTTTTGCCTTTGTATGGACATAATAAACAGACCAGCAGGCTGTCTTCATGTAACTGCCTTTATTTAGCCCATCATTAAGACAGCTAAAGATTTCCAGGTTTTCAGCAGGTGCTAAAGCAAGCAACGTTTTTTTGAGTCCCTGATTCTTGTCGTCGTCGCTGGTTTTCCGAAAACACCCTGTAGTCATTCCATCTTTTTCCGTCATCCCGGCCGGCATCCTCGAGTGCCTGGTGTCCCCTGCTCCGCGCACTCCTGCGCGCGTCTGCTCCCGTCGATCACATCTTCCGCACGTTACCGGAGAGCAGCCCGTCCCTTCCCGGTATCCGGGCTCAGCCGGCTCCTCTCCTGGTGAGGCTGCTTGTCCCGGAGTCCCGGACGGCAGGACTGGGATGCCGGTCCATGGAAGAGCCACGGAGAAGGGGGCCATCCTGAATCCCCGACGCAATCCCACCCAGCACGAGCACTGCAGGAGACGCACCACTGTGAGGATGTGTCCTGCTCCCTCACGGGGAATTGTGGGCCTCTTGTGGTGTGCTCCCATCAGTCTCCGGTTATTCATTTGAAAGTGTGGCGTCGGTTTTTATTACACCCCTCTCATTTGCCATCCCCAGCTGACTCGGCGTGCTTGCTTTCATGTTCTGTGTTTTAGGACTTTTCCCCGTGATGGGGAGGTGCGGGTGTGCAGGACAGTCCTGTCCAGCCTGCTGCTGCCCCTGTCCTTCCCCTGGGATTCGTCCCTCCCTACGCTAAGCAGCTCGCTGGCCCGGGGGGGGTTTGCAGAAGACGAACTTTAAAGTTTATCTTTCGAAAACCCACACCGCTCCCTCGTTTAAATCCCTTTTTCTGTCCCTGAAACGTTTTTGCCTTTTCCTGTTGATGTGTGACGTGCAACGTTGACATGCGTCAGTCACACATCAGGAAAATTTGCAGATTGCAATGAACAGTTTAGCACTTCCTCAAATGTCATCTTTTGTTTTTTCTTTTTTTTTGTATCGTAATGATTCCCCGTGTAAAACGAAATCTAAAAAAACAGATGGAAAGCAGCATTGAAGCAGACAGGGAATTGCAGTTTAACTTGTTAATCTGTGTGCTCTGTTAGATTTCCCTAAATAATACCATCTTTACGTTGAATAAAAGCAGTGTAAATGATAATTACAGTGAGAGAGTCGAAATTGGTCGTCTTACAGTGAGCAGTTGTTGTTCAAAAGGTTTGTGTTTTGAAATACAGATGGAGAAGACTCAGTCAGACGTGAGAAGGGGACTGTGGCCACACGAGTAATGAACATGAAAGAAAAACCGCTAACCAAGTTTAAAAAAATAAACCTAGGATTTTAATGTAGGGACTTGTGTGAATGTTCAAGGCGTTTGTAGTTTGGGTACGTTGAGAGAGCTGGAATGCCTGCCAGAGCTTTGATGTGCTTGTGCTCTGATTTTATTTATTTTTTTGTGATGAAATCCATCTTTAATATTTTAAGGTTTAACATGCCGGATTTTTGTTTTGTTTTTTGTCTCAGAGAAAAACGAGCTCAATAAGAAAGTGTGCGTGCACTGCAACACCACGTTCCCCAGCGCGGTCAGCCTGTCCAACCACCTGCGGGCGTACGCGAGGAGGAAACGGGCGGCGCTCCTGGAAGGAACCAGTAAGAGTCTCCACCGCAGCGGCTCTCGCGGAGCGTCAAGACCTGTCCGGCCTCGGTCTACTTTACTGAGCTGTGAGACGACGGTCTGGGGGGATAAAAACCAAAAAGCGTAGCGAGCGTTGCTCCTGTAGAACAGAACTCTGTAGGACCGTGGTTTAAATGTGCCGGGTCAAAGGAGAGCGAGGTTTCTTGTAGGAGGGCCCTTCAGACCCTCTGGGGCTGCTCTGTTTGCTAGATAGAGGGTAATTCATCCAGCGGTCTTATCCAGGTGTGTCTTGAATGCAGACGGGGTATTAGCTTCAACAACGTGGCTGGGTTCCTAATTTCTTTTCCCCCCCCAAAAAAAAACACTTTTCTTGTAGCTTATGACTGCAAGCAGAAGAAACCTCGGTCGAGGCCAGGGCCGAAGAAGAAGGTCTTCCCGCTGCCCCACACGGCGGACGAAATATACAGGCTGACGTGCAGGTATTGCTGTGCTTCTCACCTTGGTCTTCGCACTGAGCCGCTTTCAGCGCAGGGAAACAGAATGACCATGAGGTGGCAGTAAAATATGACCTTCAAGTGAGACGGGAGAGCGTGGTTTCAGGTCATGTCGCGGAGCCCCGGATATATTTTCATTCAGTAGATACTGCACACGTACAAAACAACACGCGTAGCAGCAGGTAAAGCTTCAGCACTTGCAGTTCTATCGCTTCAGGCACCACAGGGCTGAAAGAGGATAGTGTGCCCGACTGGCAGCCTCTCTCCCCCGGCTGTTCCAATCCCAGGACATCAGTGGGACATCTTTTTGGTGTCGCACTGTGGTCTCCAGCTCCAGTCTCACAGGTTGTATGGATACCCATCAGCTCGCCACTTTCTGATGACCTGGAATACTTGCCTGCATGGGAGCGCAGTTCGATCCAGAGGTCGTTTGGAACAGAACCGCTGCACCACTGCAGGCCCAGAACTGCCAGAGTTAGCTCCCTTAGTTCGGTGGCTCCCCAGCGCTCCTGCTCCTGTAGAAGGAGGGGATGTGGGGGCCGAGACGCCTGGCGAGCGGGGCAGGGGGCCGCAGGGGAGGGGAGCGGGGCTCGGACCCGCGGCGTTCTTGCGAATTCCGGCCACGTGACTGCTCTTCTTTTTTTTTTTCTTCCTTTCTTCCCTCCCTCCCCCCACGGAGCAGGTTCTGCGACCTGGTGTTCCAGGGCCCGCTGTCGGTGCAGGAGGACTGGATCAAACACCTGCAGCGGCACCTCATGAACACCAGCGTCCCCAGGACGGGGGCCGGCATGGTGGAGGTCACCTCGCTGCCCACAGACGTGCCCGCCCTGCCCGAGCCCTCGCCCCTGCTGGTGCCACAGGCCGCCTCCTGAGCAGAGAGCTACTGAGCCACATCAGTGTGCATATGTACATAGTATACATAAAATATACATATAAATATAATTTTTTATGATGCGGACAGACATTACCTTCCCTTTTTATAGAGGCGTCTTATTGTCCTTTTACAAGAACTGTACAATTACTAATAGAAGGCTGTTCTAAGATGTCTTGAGGAAGAGGAAGTGGACAGCGATGGGTTTGTGGGCTGCGTAGCTCGGCCTTACTGGCGTCGAGAGCCGATTTCGAAAGCGAGTGCGTTTTTGGCGGGGTTTCACGCGATCTTTCCGTTTTGTGAGGGGTAGACGCCAGCGTGGCGGCCGTTCATTTTTCTCAGTTTGTGTTTCAGTCGACAGTGCAAACCCACTACCAAAAGAGACAACCCGTACCTCAGATCCCGGCAGGCTGGCGGCGGCAGCTCGGCGAGATGCTGCTTTTGCAGAAACACTGGCAGGATGTTTGTTCGCGGACTGTACAGGCAGAAGCTGTTCAATAAAGTGAACAGTCATGTGGTGTAAATTCTGTTTTAATTCACATTAAGCACACGATGACCGACATCAAAAAGATTTAAACTGAAGACAGATCATGCTGTTCAGCCTTTAAAAACTTACAGGACTGTATGAAGATTTTGTCTTTTTTCTAAGCATAGAAATATTTTTTACTAACTCAAAATGCATTGATTTAGTTCACACACATATTGCTTGCACAAAAGCTTGTTGGATTCAGGGTCAGGGCTAGCTGGGTACAAACAGTGAGACTTCACTGATATAAGTTCCTGAATTATATTAGACGTTGATGTCTATTAGATCATTTAAGCAAGTAAAAAATACAAACTTGTATTGTTTTGCTGTGGCGGAAACTCTTCTGTAATGGTGTTTAATACTGTTTTTATAATATTTCCTCTTATTAAGAAACCCTTATGTGAAAACTACCTTTCTGATTACTGTTTCAGGACACATGCAGGTAAACATGAACAGAGTCATCTACAGATAATTATACACGTAAACCACATGGTAATGGTGCTGAAATTTCTTCATTCTGTATGCTAAATTAAAAAAAAAGATAAAAGGTTTTAGTTTTTTCATTGCAAAAAATAAACTGTGTGTGTTTCGGAGTAGTGAGTGTAACAAAAACAAGTGAAGCATTTGTATTTAATTTTTGGATGTACTGAAATGGCGGTATCCACCGTGTAAATCCTTCAGCCTCCTGCTGTAGATATAGCACCCCTTTGCTGAAATAAAAAAGGTAAAATTTTCTTCTGCTTTGTGTTAAGGATTTTACTTGTTTGCAAAACACTGATTTTATTGGAGAGATGTTGTTGCATGTTTTATATTGGCATTACCATCTGTAGGTGTAGGTAATGGTATTATTATTTAAATCCAGTAATAGACTGTACAGCAGCATGTGTTGTAGGTAAGACCATTCTGTCTGATGGCCAGGGGTGTCCTTTGTGGGCAAGTCCATTGTGTGCTGGGGGAGGAGGGTGTTTACAGGCAGCAAGTCTGATTGCATGAGGGAGATTTCCAGGCTTACCTGGGTATTTGCCGAGTTTTCTGTTGATGTTCCGAGTAGTAACTACTTAAAAGTGTTTTACTGGTTCACTCAATTATTTCCCTTAAAACAAGTGGGTAAACACGGTGACACAGGATCAAAACAAAACCAGTTTATCAGTCTTCCTGAATCGCACGGTGAATGTGGGCATTGTTGAAGCACTCTGACTTCAAGTGACTTTTTAAAAAAACTTTAGAACCATAACACCCCGGTAATTTTGGAACAGCTGCAATTTAATAAACGCTTTCAATGGGTTAGCTCAAGATCAGTGGAAAGGGGGCTAATCCTGCAGTTCAGCATTTTAGCTGGGGCAGTATTTAAACTCATGATCAAAGCTGTACAATCCAATTGCCGTCGCGTCAGTCTGAGGGGAATTGGGGGACATTAATGCTCCTTCTGTGGGAGTAATGGTGCTGTTTGGTGGCTTCATTAGCGGCCCTGGCCGCATCAGGAGGCGCTCTCCGCGGAGGCCGGGGGCCGCGATGCGGGGTTAATAAATAGGTTCTAATGAGATTGCGGCAGCGTGACCGGGCCTTCCCTCCCGGCGGCAGCGCGCTGGAGCTGCTGGGGAGGGAGCGCAGCGCGTCCCTGGCCTGGGACCCTCGCCTGCCATCTGCCAGGGGGGCCGGAGCCGGCCAGGGCGCGCAGAGCCCATTGCCGGCAGCCCGAACACCAGGGCGCCTCCCCTGGGGGCGGGGGGGGTACTTTATTAAAACTCTATATAACAGTAATCCTATTGCAAGGAAGAAAAATAAGATACGCCCCCCCACCCCGAATTAATTTGAATTGGGTTAGGTAATTAGTGGGCATTGTAAAGTGAGAAAATGGCATTGTGATTTTTTTTTTCTAAAATGTTTTTTTCCCCGTTTGGTAAAACCAGTCGGCAAAAGCAATAGACGATGATTTAGGCACGTTTCCACTTTAATACGGCGGCCTTATGTGGCCTATTATTTTTAAGAACGCCTTCTGGCACATATATGTCCATATACTATTGCCAAAGCAGTGAAAAGTGCTTCGGCAATATTGACGCTTTTGAAACTTGAAGCAAATCGGCTTTTTTTATCGAGCACTCACACCTGCTTGTGATCACTCCACTGAGTCCTGAATATTTTTATTCTCCTCCGAGTTCTCAGGGTTTACAAGAAAACCCCTTCAACGACAGATAACTTTTCTTCAGGGCTGCCGGGCGTCACTCGGAGATCAGGACCATTGATCACGCTGAGCTGGCCGGTCATTTTGAAGTGCCTGAGATCCGGGAAAATCAATAGGTTTCCATTATCGGGCCCGGCTGTGTCACTGGTCTGTCAATGAGCTGTTAGAGTTGCTGTACAAGGGCGAGACTGGCCAGTCAATCGCTGCTGACAAGAGGGAAACATGCTGGCAGCCACAAGGAACAAGTCAGAACACAGATTTGCACTTCAACCGGCTGTCCAAGGAGACTCCGAGCAAGGCCATTTACAAGGTACAGGGCATGCTCAGTGGGGGGAGGCGCAGGCAGAGCTGCCTCTGAACACTCACACTTTTATCCTCGCATCAATTATTCACTCCTGGACACAGCAGAGAACATCCAGGCGCAAAGACTTCGGCCCAGAGAAGTGCATCGCCCCCTTTTCTGGCCAGAGCTGGCATGTGGGCGCTTATTGTACCTGTTCATCGGCTTTCCGTGCTGGTGCATGCGTGCACACACTCCCAGGCATCTCTGGGGGGCGGAAGCCCCCTGTTCCGGCGGACAGGTAGCGGACTCTGCAGCCGGCCGCGGAGCGGGGAAGAGTCTCCACACGGTCTCGGTCACGGCAGGAAGAACATACCGGCAAAACGCACCCTGCCAGGGGAGCAGAAGACAAGAGACACCGGGTCAGGCCCGCCTAATGGGTGACCTCGCAGAATTCGCCCTGTCAGCTTCCCGAGAAGACTGGAAGGGGGAACTTTTTGTTTTTTGTCATGTGATTTTATTTACACCCGACGTTGTCAGGCAAACAGGAGGTTTTCTTTTTTTTTTATGAGGAGAGGCGAGCGCAGTGGGAATGCTTGCACGGAAGAACAGCTCCGGAGTAATGAAGACATCAATCAGCCATCAAAAAAGGCAGCAGAAATCGATGCGCACGACCGGCCCAGGAATCGCCGTCCTGACCGCTCAAACAGATCTTTCGCAGCCTCGGCTGATCCGTTCGGCAGCGGCTGTATGAGCTATAAGCTGGTGAAACCCGCTGTCGGTGTCCACACACATGAACGCTGGAAGAGGTCAGCAGGATGTCAGCAGAGCCCCACAGAAACTTCACTGCTGTTAAACACACGTCCAACGTCCAGTCTCCATGCTTTTGTTTTTTTTTTTACAGTCTAGCCAGAATGGTATTATTTCAACTCCATTAACAGACAAATACTCATACAAGATACACATTTACAACACATTGCTGCCATTAGTAATAATTAGAGTTAAATCCAAAGGTTAATGAGTAATAAGCTTACTTACTTTCTCTAGATTACATTAACCAGACATTTTTATCAAGACTTTAAAAAAGCTCGGGGCAACTTTTGACATCCCGCTAAGGCCATTAATTAATGTAGGTTTCTCGTACGATAATAAAATGCCAACTGCTTTTCATCCCTGCTCCCCTTTTCTTTTCTCCGTTCTTTCTCTCTCTCTTTTCTTTCTTTAAAGTGCCAATTCCGATCACAATGACTGCAGGGAATTCAGGTTAATGTGTTGACGAGTCTTAACAATACGGGGTCATGTTGCACAACACGCCTGGCTGGTTTGGTTCAGTGCGGCGGCTGACGGGTTCAATTCAGCGCTACCCTAAAGGCACGGGGGCAGATAGGATTTTAATTACTGAATTATAGACTAGCTTGCCGGCCTTAAATTGAGCCATAATTAGGCCTAGAATTTTAATAATTGTCTTCGCTAATTGGGCAGGCGAGTAATGCGATGTAGTGCGCTCCGTTTAGATAATTAGTATTTCAAAACGACAAAAAAATATTGTAAATTAGAAAGGACTACATGGAAGTGTAATCTTATTTACAGCTGTATTAAATGCATTTAATTCCTCACCACAGCCGGGTTGGGGATCGTAGTTTATGTGTCTATCCGTGTACCCGAGCAACACCGCAATTTCCAACCGCAGTTAAAACACTTGCACACGCTCGACACTGCATTGTGGCCTCACGCCTGGCTGTGAGCACGAAGGTCGGTCAAGGAGTGCTGAGCGTTTCCGAATTAAACCCCTTCTCCAAACACGCGATTCGCCAGCACTATATTATTTAGACGGCAAAAGGGAGTTAAGTGGAGATACGGAGTGTGTATTTAAATCGTAACCCTTGAACCGTTCAAAGGTGTCTTATGTAATAAGGAAAATATAAAAACCGTTGGCGGGTGTGCTTATTACAACGACATAAAAAAAAGCGGAATAATATTATTTTGCGGACGGGAAAAGTGTTTTCCGAAATGACAGCCCACAGTTGACTGTTTATACATCCGAGAGCCGGTTTATCCTTTCCTCCCGCGAAGTGTTAACAAACTGTCTGCTATTATGAAGTAGGGAGCCGTGGCTGATGTCAATTTCAATAGCAAGTTCCATTACTTATGTGTCATTTAAAATAATAAAAATAATAGTTGTGAAAAGTCCCGGTTAGACTGCGACGCGCTCTAGACTGATGTGGCACCTCTGGCGATGCCATTATTTCCTATTAATTACTCGCTAAAGAACGCCTTTCGGAATAAATGTAGGTGTGACAGGGAGCTGGTCACCGAACAGCTGCCCCTCATTCCTCCAGGCGCAACCTGACCTCCTTTTTTTACTTCACTACACTGGGAGGCTTGTCAAGTCACCAGACGAAAAGATGTGATTTGGAGGCAGGAAAGAAACGGCGAGCGGGGGCAAGACGGGCCGGAGACAGCCAGCAGTGAATAAAACATCTCTTGGCGCTCGGCTGCAGGACCCGGGCGCTGCCGGTGCGGTGCGGTTCGGTTCGGTTCTGACTGTAGGAGCAACCAGGCGTGGCGGCGTGGTTCTCCCTCCTGTGATTACTGTACTTCCGAAGAGCAGTGTACTGATGTTGAGCTCTCCCCCAGAGGACACACACACACAAATATTTAAATAGTCAAGGTATCTGCCTTTTTCTATGCTTCGATCAACACCAAGACGATGATGGAACAAGATTATTGCATTGATTCAGCTAATATACGGGTTACATCAGCCGTTACTCGTATCTGTAATTAGGAGGGAGAGAAAAAAACAGGAACGTCACCCTGGCATTTTTTTTTTCTGCGAGGTGTCTCGCTTTTATTCTGGCTGCACAACGCCGATCTCCAAATAACTGCTAAACATGAAATGCATAATAATATCTCCACCGGTCCTTGGTATAAGTGGTGTGACAATTTAGTTCTCAGCACGTTTCTTTAGTGTTAATTGATCGTCTCAAACCGAGGACAGTTTGGAATGATTTAAACCAATCAAAAGGACATCACGTTTTCCAGAATACACTTGGCCATGAGCCTGCCAGTGTTTGCTGTATGACTCACTGAACAGCTTTATTGTAAATATTCATAACCAAACGTGCACGCCCGGAGCCGAACGCCAGGGGGCGCTGTATTTCACAGCGTGAAGACCAGAGAGCTCAGGTCTTCATTTGCACTCTTGCATTTAGTAGAGCGTAGCCTGCAGACTTTAACGAGGGAAATGGTAATTGAAAACTATATGAAATATTTATTTTAGGTTATTTATTCAAATGTATATTTAAACACACCCTGCGTTTACGATGGTGTTGGCTAATTCATGTATATTTGTTTCTTTGTGGAAGGGAAATGTCTTTTAGATCTGCATTCTCCGGATTCATGAGGGAACACATTGTTAATAACGTGGCCTGTTGCAAACAAACCTTAAGTCTCTAGGCTTCCTTTCCAGCTACACTGTCAGTAGCTAACATTAGCTAATACTTTAATTATGATTAATTAGACATTTTAAACTATTTATATCCCTAAAAAGCTGCAATTCAGAAGTTCGCGTTTTTAATCAAGGAAAAACCTCTAGGAGAGCTCCAGAGCTAAAACGATCAAAGGGCACCATTAGCCCATTAAACAATCAGCAGAGCAGCAGGAACGAAAAGGGTTCGAATTACGGATCGCAAAGCTCTGGCCTAAAGGAGTATAACCGGTAAACATGAACAATACCCACCCGCCCATTACCAACAGTCGCTTGTCCCAGTAATGACACGGCACGCCCGAGTCCCTTACAGGAACCCGGTTCTCCCGTAGTGGACCACGCCAGAAGAACGTGCGAACTCCCCCGTGAGGTGACTCAGCTCGGACCTAACAGACGTGTTGCAGGTGTAACCGCTCTGTTTGGCGAAGTATTGCTTTTATATTTTTCTAAAAAAAAAAAAAAAAAAACCAATTAATTTAAGGAATTCAACCTAAAACAAGAAGGGAAAAGAATCCAAAAACCTGAAAATTCCCAAAAAAAAAAAAACCCCAACAATAATAAAAGGAAAATTTTGGAAAAAAACAAAACAACCCGCCTTTCCGCCAAGGAAAAACGGGCCCCGTTAACGGTTTTCCCCAAAAAAAAAAAAAATGAATTAAATGAATAAAATGAATTACTGAGGGATTGTCTACCCCATATATTTTTAATTAACATTATTGGAATTCTTATCCAAACGAGTTCAGAAAGACTATATTCCTATAAAGTGATTAGATTGGAAACCCACAAAAATAATTACCACTTTGATTACGTTTGCAATTGTACTTGGATAAAAGACACAAACGTTTTATCATTTCCGTCTTCTATTTATGAACTCCCGAGGCATCTTGAAAACGAACGATTAGGCCTTTAAAAGACACCAAGTTAAATTCGAAGCCCTTTGTTTTCATAAACGGACTGTAATCCCTCACATCAAGGCAAATCTTAACAAAATGGGAGGCAAACCTAAAGCACCGTGTTTTTTATCGCGCTGTCATCGGCTAGTGCGTGTTTTGATTTGCCGCTGCCCAACACGACAGATTTTGGGGGTCATGGCGGCGCGGGTCACACCACCAGACGCCCGCCGCGCGCCGGAGCCTGCGGGCCGGAACAAAGGCGCGCACACGTGGCGGGGACCCGGGGTCGAGCGCGCCGGCGCGCCCCGCCAGAAGTGCGCTCACAAGCACACGCGAGTTTGTGCCGGCCCTCCTGCTCCACCGTGTCCGTGCCGGGTTTATTTATTTAAGACACTTTAGTCTGCAACTTTGTTTCTACAGTATAATTGCCCCCAGAAGAGCGCCCCACGCCTTCAAACACACACATATATATGTATATTATGTCCCCGCTGTCTTCCGCGCTCTCTGGTGCTCTGAAGACAATAATACCCCCAATGTTTTATGGTATGACCGCCCCCCCCCTCACGCAATCAGCCCCCCCAGTCCCCTGGAGGTCACAGACCGAACCTCCAGAGTCTAAGAGCAAGCGTCTGGTGTCTATGCTCAGACCTCTTAGTGACAGGCCTCTGGGATTTTCCAGTGAGAATATTTCCTATTAATTAAAATGATTTAAAATTAGGCCTCTGGATTGTGCGTCCAATTTTGGCGCCTTGGTTGTCAGCACTGGGAAACAATCTCATGGTGTTTTCCATCATAACATCAAACAGACACCGAGAGTAAATAGCCTGCGTTTTGTTATGCGGAAATGATAAACCTTGCTCGGTGCAGGGATTATGACTTTAATCCGCAGCCTGTGACTCTTATTATACCGAGGAATAGATTAGTTATATACACACACACACACACACACTATATATAGGTATATTCGCGGAGAACAAAGAAGTTCTGCATATATTTATTAAAAAAAGCCGTAAAAGCTGGAAATAATTTAACTTTTTGATATCAACTTTTTTTAAAAATAATCTAACGCTCAATTTTAACAGGCCTTACTTCTGTCACAGAAAACAAGCACCTGTGCATCGTCTCCCTGACGTATATGTTGTTTTAACACCGGGGAGAAAAAAAACTACGATGAAAAACGTCAAACGGTTTCTTTTTTTTTCAGGGTGTCTGGTTTTTCCTTTCTGCTACAATTTAAACGTGGAATAACTCCACAATGTGTACTGCTTTGCTGATACCTTTTGCTTTGTTGATATATTTAATTGCGACCCAACTGTATACCGGAGTTGAAAAAGTGTCAGGCGACAAGTGAATATATAGAGCAGATGACAAAACAGAAAGGCAGTAACTGACAGATTAAAAGGCAGTCAATGTGCAGCTAACAGGCAGACGCAAGAGTACAAAGTCACACATACCTTTTGAGAACGCAGTTTGTTTTATTGCGGATTTCCCAGGTTGTATCTCCTGTCGATTTGATAGAAGAAAAGAATCAGATAACATGCCCTGTTTAAGATACAAACATGCAGATTAGATCAGATTTCTGACAGCAGACCTTTCTCGGAGGTTTAAAGTCCCCCAGCTGAGCGCACGGCGTAAATAGCATAACAGAATCCGCATCTTCGCTATCCTAATGATGCCAAGTATTTACTCTTACCCCGAAACAAGGAGTAATATACGCGCCGACTGCATTTACAACCAAATTATAATTATTAATCCTTTTAGGCATACTGTAATGTATTTTAAATGATTTTGTAAGACGCATTCATATTAGCCCCCACCTGTCCCTCAATGCAAATTACCCTGAAATACATTTATTGTTATTATTCAGCAGGTACGTTTACATATTCTTACATATCGAACAAATGACATTGAGAAATTGTGCAAGTTTTAGAGAAAGGAAGAAGGGTGCTAGACGCTCAGTAATAAAAGCTTCAGATGTATCGCGAGGAAAAAAGGTAGGGCGCGCGACGATGTCGGCAACACCTGTGCAGGTAAAAGTTACAGCGCTTTCACTGCCTCGTGTCAGCGACGAAGGCTTGTTAGAGAAGGGAGCTTCGTGTTTCTAATCGCGTTCATTCTGCTATTACTACCCAAGGACTACAATCCTGGGCGTTTAATTATTTATTTTTTTCCTGGAGAAGTTTACTGATTTGTATTCTGATGCTGGAGACGCGTCCCAGGTAGTCAGTGGCTGACAACGAAAAACACGCTTAAACCCGCAATAAGGAACCCGAGTAACTCATCGTATTTCTGAAGTTTAGTTTAATGATTTCTTCTTCTACTCCTTGTCCCGGGGTCCTGTCGCCGTTTGAAAAGCTCCAAGCTGACAACGCGCCTGCAGAACTGGCTGCTCGTCCTGGGGACTTGTCACCTGTTAGATACCGTACTTACTACCTGCCACCGAGGGCTTACAGCGTCTCTCCCGACACTCACCTTCTCACGATCACTTGCGATCATCGCTTTTTGAGTGGAACTTCTGCGGGACTGTGGAGAGAGGGCGATGCACAGCGCGAACGGAGCTTGGCCGCCACAATATAGTCGAGCGTTAAGAAAACACCGTTTTCGTGTCTTCAAAGTTATTACAGTTTCCCTTGCCCGTCCTCGCCGCGTTTTAACATTAAAACACAGCAGCCTCAAAAGGCCTGCCTTCCCGAGAAATCTGCCACCTCACTGTGCAGAGAAGCCAGAGTACTGCTCCTGTACAGATGTGGGCTGTCCAGTCTTTTAGGAATGGGATACAAATTTAAGAAAGCATATTTCAGTCAACGCGTTTTACCACACACGCATTTGCTGTACCCTGGACGCAAAACGTCCCTTTTTTGTCTCCTTTATATCGCAAATGTTGTGTTCCTGGAACCCAGATTGCACGGAGACAGCCCCGCAAAGTGTTAAAAAAATCGCACTTCCTATCTGCCTCCTGGCGTGCGCTTGATGTGACACATCTAAAACTTATTAAGACATGACTACAAAAGGGCACCACTCGCCGACTGGGCCTAACTCAATTAAAAAAATGGCGATCCCGTCTCCAGGCAAAGGCTGTTATAAATGCGACGGCTGAAGGAAATTAAATTATTAGTATAAAGTGATGTATTGGTGAAGGTTTGGGTGACTAATAGTTTTAAGCCAGACAACATAAAGAAGCTATGGCCTGCCCCTGCAGGACAATATTGAACCACTGTCCACTCCTAAAGGCTCCGGACCGAGAGTGCTTAATTGGCATGCCGTGTGCTCTTTTGTGCGGAGCTCTGTTAAGTATTCAGAGGTGATTTCTTGCTGCTATGCGCCGTCCGGGCTTGATATAATCACCGCCACAACAACTGAAATCTATAAGAGTACAAATAATGGAGATGAAATAGACAAAAGATTAGCATGCCATGAAAAGTACAATAAGTTTCTTATTTAGCATTTAGATAACTGTCTATCCTGAGGAGCAAGCTTCAAAGTTGAACCCAGTTTAGACCAAGAGGATTAATTCTTTCTCCCGCATGCTTCATTGAATCTCTCATTACCAAACTTTGTCTGTATTGATGTAAGATTTGATTGAAGATTAGAGCATTTAGCAAATCTTGCTGTTCTGCATGTATCAGGCCTTTTCAAGCGCAGAGCACAGTGCCCACTGGTCAATACCCTCACTTTTATCCAGTGTCTGCTTCATTTAAACTTAATCAACTCCATCAATGAACTGGAACAGGGAAACGTCCCTGTGGTAGAATGCTGTTCTTTTGTTAGATAATTCTTTGCTCTCTTTCCCAATCCGTTGGCGTTAAACCTAAAATTACACTATGATGAACTATTTCAATCAATATGATAATGAAAACCGGTTTCGAATGTCTGTTTGCAGGGCTTAAGCGCGAAGGTATAGCTGTCATTACTAAAACATCTTTTCCGCCGTGCTTGTAGCAAATCAGACTGCTTTTTTTCCCTCTTTTCTTTTTTATAGCGGCATCTTTTCATTGACATTGAATATTGTTCATAGTAGAAAATGATGTATCTTTGCGGGGTGTCCTATATGTCACGGTGGAGACTGAAGCAGACCGATTGACTGTATGCATTTTTGCGATGAATTATTTGCACCGCGTTCTCTCCGCAAGTCAACAAGTTTTTTTGTGGTCTTGTGTAGATCAATCACGGGTGACAGCGAGGAGGTGATGTTTTTACTGTGCGTATCTGGACGTTTTGCCCTTGTGTTGCGCATCCATGCCGCCTGTACAGTACATCATTTTTATACTGCTACCAAAAGAGCAATTTCAAAAGTATTTGCACAGAAAATGTATGTCCCCATCTGTTCCTCCCTCAATAAATGTGCCACCTTCTGAGTCTCTCCAATGGTAATCATATCTTTAATGATCAACAGACTTGTGATATATAACTTTCCATAAAAAGGATTTCACATGTTCGTATCGTGATTGGTTGTGTACATAGCTTTTCCATATGTTACAGGAACGCAACGCGGTGCCCTGCCATCATTTGTATAGGTTGTAAAGATATCAGACTGAGTAATGCATCTCTCCTACAGCTTTCGGAAGCCGCAGTCCCTTTGTGTTCACGCCAGCCCGAAGCGAGCAGGCCGTCCGGCAGGACCTGAAACATGCCTGCTATCGGGAAAGAGACTTTTATTTACTGGCTCTTTCCTTTCGCAGCAGCTCGTTACTGTGTAAATTTAACTCAAATTACCTATGGATAAGCTCGCTCACTTCCTTCCATTTTTCATGTATATTTTCTCCCTCCTCAAAGGCGCCGTGTAACAACTCTTACGGCGAAGCTCATTTCAGAACGAAACGATTCTTTCCGGAAATTTAATATCAGAAAAAACTTTGGGATTTATTACTTGTTTTATTCCAAGGATTACTGTTTTTATTACTAGAAAACCTCTGGGTATCGCATTACCATATTTTCTATTTCAATTACTCATTTTTATGAAAGGTTTTGAAGTCGGCACCAAGCACCCATCTCCAAACGCCGAGACGCTGCAATGGCGCACTAGACAAACTTTTAATATCGGAAACGGACTTGTTCTGTCTTTGGGGAGGATGGTCTGCTTAAAATTCCCCTTTATTCAAAATACTTGTTTTTTATTTCGCTCTTTTTGTGACTGTATGTTTTTAAATGGAAAAGATAATTGTGATATAGAGAGAAGTTCAGATCTGGAGGAAACAACTTCCCCGGTTTATTTGGTAGATTTTTTTTTTTTTTCGTTGAAGCAGAGGGTTTTTGTTTTAATTTGAAAATTACATGTTAAGTTTTCATCACTACATAATAATGGTTTCGTTATTAATTTTATTTTTCGATACTGCCCTTCTTGCTAACCGTGTCCAGACGGATGTTGAGACCAACGGGCCCAACGTCAAGGAGCCCACCAGCACCTGCACTTTCATGAGCTCCCAGCAGGGGCCGCAGTTACAGCCGGTCGGCCAGGCTCTCCCGTTACCTGACCAGGTGACTCACCAGTCTGGACCAGTTAACCGCCTGTACTTCTTCACAGCTTTCACGGGATTTCAGACAGCTATAATTATTTTTTTTACTTAATTTATGCCGGTGTTAAAAATTAAATATGGCTTCTCACGAGATTATAAATCTCCTTGGCCTGAATTTGGAGTCGCTGTTGTGAATTGCGAATTTGCACCGAAATTGAGGAATTGGATCATTTGTACTTATTTGGGTAAAAAAAAAGTCAGTCTATCCATCAATTTAATGGCAGAAAAAGTTAATGATATAATGCACGGAGATAATAGTTTTTTTCACCTCGAGCAGCATTCCCCAAGCTGTTCAGCTGCGTGGCGTGTTTTCTATTTTCTGTTTTTCGGTAAGTAATAAACATATCAAAATTTTGCACGGGTTCTCATTATCGTTGCTGAAAGCAACGGCACACATTCAGAAGTGTGATTTCTGGTGATAAAGATATAAGTAAAAACGTTATCTAATCTCCTTGCCGCAGTGTGAGGTCCCACTCACAGCGGCAAAAATAAATAAATAAAAATAATAACATAAGAAATAACATAGCCTGCGTGACGCCTTTTCGGTCTACACTTTCAACACAGAACACCGTACAGCGTGTGTGCGGGTAGCAGGGCACGTCACAAAATACCGATTTTTAAATAAAAAAGGTTTCTGTGAAGATATCCGTTCAGAAATAATTAAAAATAGTTCTGTAATATTATTAAATCCTCAATGTGTGTTCAACGCGTGGGTGAGCCCATGTCCCGGACAGCCACTTCAATCACCAGCTTATAAACACTGGAAACAATTCGTTTTCAGCACTGAAGCGGGCGATTCGCTCAGTTAGAGGGGTTAGATATAAACGGAAATGAAAACACCAACATCAGGGTGGTGGGAGAGGGGAACAGGCCGCCCAGGCGTGTTGTTGAAGCCGATACATTGGCTTCTCTCCAGAAAAGCATTGATGAGATCCTGGGATCAATTAGATACCACTTAGCAAACAGGCTTGATTGGCCTAATGTCCTCCTCTCATTTGAACCCTGTCTTAAGTTCCTATCACCTCTTGTGCCAATAGAGTCTATAAAGGGAGAGGAAATACTTTCTTTGAAGTGCAACATAGATCCCAATTATTTAAAAAATATACAGATCCTTCAAATAACGACTCTGAAGATAAATCATTAGAAAGTTACAAATATTCTTTGTGAAGTAAGTGAAAGGGGGAGAAATTCTGTTGCAAAGTATGTGTTCAGAATCGGCTGAAATAGTACAGTACAGAACATGTATGGTAGGCTGCTTCTCCTAGGACTGCAGCAGCAGGAGAGTGAGGTTCTCCATTGCAGACCACATTGCTCACTTGCCCTGTACTCGTTCCATATCTGATGTGCAGCTGTGTAGCTCTTGGCTCCCATTGTGAGGACGCATGTCTTGCGTGATTTAGAAGGGACAAAAGGAAAAGCAACAATGAACACTTACAGCCCGTTTCTAACTCCACAACTGTGGCTGACCAGTGCGTTTTACAGCCTGCCCCTGCAGATAATCCCTCTTCCCCCTGTTGTGTGTCTAAGGAGGTACGAGCTGTGCTCTTTGTATTGTTTAAAGTCGTGTCTGGGTGCAAACGCACCTCCAGTGCTACACTGCAATACTTTTGAGTCTGCATTCTACAGAATGGGATCTTGGTGCTGGAAGAGCCTCCAAGCTGGTCAACAGTTGTGACAGAAGCGGCTCTTCCTTCAGCAGGGGTGTGTGTCCTGTGTTGATTTCTACACGCAGTCTGAGTGGTCAGCAGGGTGTGTGCAGCCGTGCTAAGCCACACGTATTCATGTTGATGAGTCCTTTTGGTGACACTGACTCCGAGTGACCCAGTCGACACCCAGCTGCATCAACGGATCTTCAGGTCCTTCACTGCAAGGAGGTGTTCTCAATTGACCTATCTGGTTAAATAAAACATCGAAGAAATTAATAAGGAACAAGTACAGGAGAATCCATACTCAGAAACAGAAAGAGGAAACGCAATGTTTAGGCTGCTGAATCCCCTGCAGGTGTCTCAGCTCCCCACTCAAAGGCATTTATCAGAACTTTCCTAATTAATTGATATGAACACCAGTGGGCAAGATTTGAAAAGTTCTTCTTTTAGTGTGAGCAGACAATTCAAGGACTAAACCCAGGTGTGGTTGCACGATATTCCAGCCTAGGAAGAGAGAAGCTCATCCACTGTGACAGATATTTGCACACGTTCTTCCCATTATGAGGAAACTGGGAAACTCTGCCCTGTTTGATGGCTGGCTGTGATCCTGCGGCCCTGCGACTTGATCATCACTCCCATCAACAGCAGCTTTCCCCCCAGTGTCAGCTGGTGTTTAATTGTGAGCTCCTCGCTCAGATGCTGTTTATTCTTCTTCTGTCTTTCTTTCCAGGGACCGTCTGCAGACTCCAGACTGCTGCGGCTGTACGGATACATTTGGATCTAGTTTTCTGCTTTGACACTTTGTGTTCTTCAGGATTCTTTGTTCAGCCTTTCGCTGCTCTCAGCCTCGCTGCAGAGACCTGGCAGTGCTGAAGCTGCAGAAAAAGAACATGAAAGAAGATCGCATCAGCTGTGAAGGCGTGATGGGTTATACATTAACATCCTCGTGAAGGCTTGGACGAAAGGACCATGGGGTGAAACTGGCTCACAGCTGCTGTCTGAGATGCAGGCCGAACACCTT